CAAGTGCTCAAAACTATCACCTCTCACTAGGCCACCGACGCCACTCCTCTTGGTATCGACTCCATCCTCACTACACACTCCTCTCGGTGTACAAGTGTATTACAAAGTGATCTACACAATTAGGCACAATAACAAAGTGTTTGTTCTCTAATACAAGGTGAAAACTCAATGTAAGCTCACACTCTAAGTCACATAATCCCACAACCCAATTATACAATGTATGCAAATATAATAAGCTCAATGGTTGTGTGTGTAAGCAAAAAGTAAATAAAATCAACTAAACTCAATATAAACACTAGCTTAATAAAATGGTAATTAAACAATAGAAATGTAAAGCTAGATTGAGTTTAGAGAAAGTTCTCTATAGATAACAAGAGAGAGGGAGAAGAGTGAATGCTCAACCACCAAGGATGATCTCTACTTACTCTTGTGAAATTCTCTTCACAAACAAAACTCTTAAACACTCTTTTAAACAAACTAAAACAAACTTTAAACCCTTGTTAAACTTGTTTAAAACATTCTCTTAGATGTGTGAAGAGCTGAAGGCAATAGGGTATTTATACCCACTCAAAACTTTAGCAAAAACTCCAAGGAAAAGACCAAAAACCCATAAACAAACAAATCAGAAAACTAGCCATTACTGTGCAACGGCTCTCTGATAAGTCGACTTATGAGTCGACTCATGAGTCGACTTATGAGTCGACTAATGAGTCAGCTTATATGAGTCGACTCAGCAGAAGAAAAATCATAACTGTGCTACACTTCATGAGTCGACTTATCAGTCGACTCATAAGTCGACTAAACATGCACAGACCTGAAGTGCACAGAAAAACTCAACTTTAAACTAGGTTTAAAAATATCAAATAAATTCCAAAAAATTATGAAACTTTGGGAGATGATTCTAGACATGATAATAAACATGTTACAAAAACTGGTTTTCAAAAAAGACCTCCCAAATAAGAAATATTATCATTTTGTAAAATAGTTCAAAACATAAAAATGTGAACACATGAGTTTTGACATTTTAGCTTAACCATATTTTGAAACATTACAAAATGATTTTGTAGACTTAATAAAAGATGTATATGATTATTGTTAAGTCTATAAACCAAGAAAACAATATTTTCACAAAAATACTTTTTTTGCAAAGCTTGTGTTGTATATATATATAACTATATATATACAATGTCTACAATATAATGTGTGTGTACATATGATCGAGCTTAAATTACTAACACACATAATATAAACCTAAACTACTGTTACTCAAGCTTGATATTGATCTTTATTATAGCTCAACTTGGTAAACTTGGTAAACTTGGATGAAGCTTGAACTTGGATCTTCAACTTGATAGCAAGGCTTCACTCTACTATTCCGCCAACCTCTATTTGATATGATCGTTATGGCGCAATCCATCCATCCTCCAACATGTTGTTTGTCTATAATTGATACAAAAATACAAATACTAGACAAACAACATTAGAAGTAAATTGTTTGTAAATCAAAACAAGAAGGCCAACACTATTTTCGTTTCGGTCTATATTTTTTATAGTTTTATCTCTTAGCATAATTTCTGCTAATTTCATGATATCCTACATTTCATCTTACTCTCGATCTGCATCTGTATAGGCAATCCATTCTTCAAATGTTTATTTATGCTCAGTAATCCTTTCACACTGATAAAAATATATAGTAAATTGACATTAAAATAAACAGCTCCATTGTTTATTATAAAAAATTTAAATATTCTTACCTTTAATGATGGTGCAGATAAAGATTCACCAATATCTTTACTTTTCTTACTCATATTTTTCATGGTTAGAATTTGGTATGAAAACATTACATTTTATAGATGTATATGGACTGGTACGTTTACTTGGTGGTTGGATGTTGAATCTGACAATATTTATTTGGATCAATAAATTTTCTACTGGTATTACCCATGGTTTTAAAACGCTCATGGTTTTGAAACCTAACTAGTTTTGTTTCTGATAGTTGACTCAACTACTCAGTCTCCATTATGTATATGTTTGGTATTTCCAGGTTTGATGCGATTTGCCATGTCATATATATATTTATGACTAATTAGGTTATTTATATATTTTTTACAGGTTTTATAAGAATTTTTCGCTAATTCAGGTACGTATTTCATAAAATTATGAATAATCATGTTATTTCAGGTTTTGTTTGTTTTTTCGATCATGTCAAACAGGTTTCGTGTAATTTTTTCATGTCAAACAGGTATATTGCATGTCAAATAAGGTACGCAGTTCATAGCAATTAATCATATTATTCCAGGTTTCGTATGATTTTTTTTATGTCAAACAGATATTTATAATGAATTCAATTATTTATTATTTGTTCATATTACATTCGTACTTTTATTTTAGTAAGATTACCTCCTATAACAATCACAAATAAATTTATCTTTAGTAGGGGTAAACTTACCATGATGATCGTTTAAACTTTTGCCTACACACTTCAATACTAACAAAATACAAGAAATGTGAGAAATGTCTAATCAACAAAAGTTTTTCCTTTTTTTATACTAACCAAACATAAGAAAAGTGTATATATTGGTTTACCACCATATTTTTATGTGTGAACCAAACCCAAGCAATCTATTTATTAAAAAAATTTGAAAACCCTAAAACTTGGATTTCTTTACATGGAATAAAACCTTATTTAATTTAACATTGGAAAATGTCCCCTCGAAATTCTTTAGGGGGTGTTTGTTTCAAATCCTATAATTTTAGAATATGGATTTCCCATGAATATAGATTTCACCATGGGATTTGAAATCCATAGGTTTTTTAACATGTGTTGTGATTTCTAAAATATTATTTATTTTATTAATATTTTGGGATATGTAATCCTATAATTTATATTTTATTTGTTTCAAACTCAAATTGTAGCATTACAAAATTTAGAATTTAAAATCTAGCCTAAATCCTCTCTCAAAGAGGGAATTTCACAAATGCTATAATATATTAGTTTTTTATTGTTTGGGTATTCAATATCCTAAAATTTGTTTTGAATCAAACAAAGGTTGTGAAATATATAAACTCAAAAAACCCACTTTTCTATCATAGAATTTGTAATCCATTCTATATCCCAAAAACAAAGTTGAAACATACACCCCCTGGGTCAATCATTTCCACGTCCATTCCAACAAATAATGGGGTCAGACCATTAAGTTCAAAGGCTGCCGTCAGGGCCCACTTCAGTTGGTTCTTCCTGAGCCTGGCCCATTAATCCCAACATAAGTATTTTAGCTATAGTCAAGTCGGCATACATCGAGACTCGGACTAATTTTACCCTCGTCCTTGCAGGCTATAAGGGGCCAAGACAGTTTTTTTTTTTCTAAAAAGAAGACTAGTGTGCGCCTGCAAAACACGATCCCTATTTTTTAAAACATGATATTTTAAACTTGTTTTTCTCTAAATTTTAATATATTTGATTTAATTATTATATACTTAGAACTAGAAATTAAATCTACTCCTTCATACTCAAAGAAAGATCCAAATTTTAATACATTTGATTTAGAAATCATATCTTTCTCTTTATACTTAGAGAAGAATTCAAATTTTAATACATTTGATTTGCTTTACTATTTACGATACAGTAAATATTGTAGCATAAATGATAACTTTAAGTATGGAGAAGCAGATTTGATTTAATGTTTATGCAACAATAAATTACTTTAACACAAACAGTAACTTCGAGTGCAAGGGCTAGATTGGTTCATACTACAGTATTTACTGTAACATGAACAATAACTCTTTGGATTCTCCTTTAAGTATACAAAATTAAATTGATTGATGGAAAATATATTTTATTTGTCATGGATTTCGATTTACACGTTTGTGAACCCAAAATTGGACATATTATACTTTCGGTTTGTGCCTGTCCATCCGAGTCGGCCCAGCCCGGGAAACCGGGCCCGGGCCGGGCAAAACCGAAGCCCAGACCCGGGCCCGAGCCTGAGCGGGCCGGGCTTCGGGCCGGCTCGGCCGGGCAAAACCGAAGCCCAGACCCGGGCCCGAGCCTGAGCGGGCCGGGCTTCGGGCCGGCTCGGTTTTTTTTATTTTTAATTTTTTTAAATTAAAAAACAATAAAGCATAAAATATACATGAAAATTATAAAAAATAACATAATTTTTTTAATTAATTAAAATAACATAAATTATAAGTACAAAAATTAATAAAAATAAAAGATGATAAAAATAAATTTTTTTATTAATAATCATGTCATTCATATATTGTACATAAACAAATTGTAAGTACTTATAGAAATTACATAAAAAAATTGCATTATACATAAATATATATATATATAATATATAAATTATATATATATATATATATATATATATATATATATATATATATATATATATACCGGACACCGGGCCGGCCCGGATTTTTTTGTTTTTTTATTTTTTTTATTTTTTTAAAAATTTTAAAAAACAATAAAACATAAAAATTATATTTATATAATAGTATATATATATTTATACTCTTATATAAATATAATTATATTATATGTACATATAAGTTTATGTTTATATATATGTATAGATATATAAATATATATTTATACTCTTATATGTATTTATACTATTATATAAATATACTTATATATGTACATATAAGTTTATGTTTATATATGTGTATATATATATAAATATACTTATATAATAATATATATATACCTATATATATACTTATATACTAAGAGAGAGAGTATAAATATATATATAAGAGATAGTATACACTGTACACATATATAAGAGAGAGCATACTTATACATATATATAATTATATAAGAGATATATACATATATAAGAGAGAATATACTTATATTTATATATACTTATATACTAAGTAGTCCAAAGTATTTTTTTTTTTTGGTCAATGAAAAATTTTATTCATTACCAAGTATGAAAATGAATTACATTTCTAAATATCAAACCAGAGCCTGCTGTGGCTCCAATCCCTCATGGCAGTCTCTCAATATATTCCTTTACATGAATTGGAATTTTTACATTCAGAAGCTTAGAGTATATACTGAACTTCAGTGCACGAAAGAGAGTATCAGAATCTCGTGCACGTCCTTGGAAAAGCCTAAGGTTCCTCTCCTGCCAGAGCATATAAACTGACGCTAATAAAACCATCCTTTTAAGCTTTGCTTTAAAGCCTGTCCCTCTCAAACTCATACTAAACCAGGATGAAAGATGATGCCAGCTACACGTCTTCCAATTAAAGCCAACCCAGTCCATTGCTTTATTCCAAAATATCGCTGAGTATTGACAGTCAAAGAATAAGAGATTGCAGGTTTCTCTTTGATTGATATCAGAACATAGCACACACTGATTTGATTTAAGAATCCTCATTCTGCACGGTCTATCTTGAGTTAACAACCTTGAGATGGAAGCCAACCATAATATGAAGGAATGCTTAGGGTAGTGCCAACCACCCCAAATAGTTCCTGATATAGCTATTGAAGGAACCTGCTGGTTTAGTCTCTTATACATAACAGAAATGCTAAATTTATCTCCAGTGTAGCAATTATTGATGACAGAAAGAAGATTATCAGTATTACTAAGCTTCAATGCTAACAAATCCCTAACTTTCAGAATTTGTTTCCACATCCAAGAGTCACTTTCTCTGTTTTGCACTTGCCAAACATTGTTCTGCCGCAAATAGTTTCCATGTATCCATTTAATCCACAGAATGTCCTTCTTATTATGGATCATCCAAAGCAGCTTAGCAGCAGAAGTAAAATTCCAAAATTTTGCTGAATATACCCCCAAACCACCTTGTTTATGATCCTGACAAATTGCAGACCAAGCCACCAAGTGCATTTTATGTCCCCAAAGGAAATCAGCACACATCTTATCAATCTTCTCTAGAACTTTAATTAGTAGTATGTAATTACTTGTCCAAAACATTTGAATCCCCAAGATAACTGACTTAATCAATTGTAATCTCCCTGCGTAACATAGAGTTTTGTTATTCTGCCAATTTTGAAACTGAGAGGAGATTCTGGTTATAAGAGGAGAACGATCAAGCCAATATAATCTTTTTGAGATAAGTGGAACACCCAGATGTTCGCGGGGAAAATCGTTTTCTTCATTGATGTCATTGTGATCTCAAAATAACAACTTTTTATGGTTACAAAAGATCCGGTCTTTTTTTTTGATCCGGTTACAACGAAATCAAAGAAAAAAAAAATTACAACTTTCTCCTTGTGAACAAATCGCGAGCTCCTGTTTTGCGGTCGCTCGCTTTTGTGGGTTCTTTGCCAACGCCGGGGTTAATCCGTGGACCACCGTACGATCTAGATCCGGTCGGATCTACACGATTTGACGGGTATTATTCCACGAAGGGAATAATAGCCGGGAGGGATTAGTTCACTAAGGAAATAATCGCTCGGATCTCGGGATCTAAGACCAAGCTTAGATCCGGAGTGTGATCTCGTGTAGATCTCAGATCTGTTCTTCCCCTCTCTCGAACTCCTGCCTTTTGTGACGTGGATGCTCGCCGAGGATCAGATCTGGATGTCCAAGTCTTCAAGTCTTCAAAACTCTAAGCTCGATCTCCAATCCGGCAGAGTTTCGGCTCTCAAAAGTCCAACCTTTCAAAATGAACAAAAAGGGGGGCCTATTTATAGCAAGCGTCACTGTGCCCGTGTGCACGTGTGGCCAACACACAGATGGCCGGCCACCTCAAGGTGGCTCGGCTTTTTGAAATGAAACAAGGGGGGCCTATTTATAGGCTCCCTTTACTGTGCCCGGTGGCTCGGCCACCGAGCCACCTCAGGGTGGCTCGGCTTTGGCCGAGCCACCATGAGGCGGCTTGGTTTTGGCCGAGCCCCTCTGGGTTTGCTGTTTTCCGTCGTTTTGCGCTGTATCCGTTTCTCGGTTCTGTCTGTGATTCGGTTGACTTAGATTCTTATTTTGTTGATCTGATTTAGCAGTAAATCCGCTTCTGATTTGGTAGTAAATCTGCTTCTGAGTTCGAGTCCGAAACTGATCTTGATTCGATCATGATTCGTCCGAGTTTGTCTTTGGTTGGATCACTCGTTGACTCTTCAACACTTGGCTTGATTCCGAACGCGAATGGATTTATTCCGTTGCTTGCGTGCGATTCGTCGCCTCGTTGGTTCGTCGGTTTGTGCCGAGCTGTGCTAAGGGACCTATAAGCAATTTTATATGCCTACAGATACCCCCTCCAAAGTATTTCAGTCTCGTTCTTTTATATAAGAGTCTGGAATACTTTGGATATGATTGTCCCAACCTTCAGTCGGCGTAATGGGACTTTGGAATGACTTCCGTTCTTGATTCCTTCAATCTTCCAGGCTATTCGGTGCTTTGTCGAATGTCTGTAAGAGTTCCGGTGCTGCATTTATTGTCTGACCGTTGTCGGAATTTTAAACTTGAAGTCGATTCCTGACTTTCTAATCTTTAGCTGACCATCGATTGTTGGCGTCGAGTCTTTATCTGCAACGCGTTGTCCGGCGTAGTGTTGTTGAGTTATCCTTAAGAATATTTTTAGAAAAAATACTCTCCAGAAACTTCTCAACCAAAATTAGGGAACAGTTTATACTCATATACCTTATTGGAGTATTTAAGAAGCAGTTTATACTCGTATACTTTTCGGAGTATTAAGAAGCAGTTTATACTCGTATACTTTTCGGAGTATTAAGAAGCAGTTTATACTCGTATACTTTTCGGAGTATTAAGAAGCAGTTTATACTCGTATACTTTTCGGAGTATTAAGAAGCAGTTTATACTCGTATACTTTTCGGAGTATTAAGAAGCAGTTTATACTCGTATACTTTTCGGAGTATTAAGAAGCAGTTTATACTCGTATACTTTTCGGAGTATTAAGAAGCAGTTTATACTCGTATACTTTTCGGAGTATTAAGAAGCAGTTTATACTCGTATACTTTTCAGAGTATTGATTCTTTCATTGCAACGCATTGATCGGCGTTGACCTAGGGTTACGCGTTGACCAGCGTTGACCCTAGAGTTTCGAATGTCGTTGGATGCTCAGGTCACGAGACCAACTAATGAAGCTGATGCGTCAGTGACTCTCGTATTTATAGGATTTTTGGCAAACCCTCAGCCATCAACGGGTTTGATGAGCCTTTACCGACTACCGTTTGAGTCGGGCTAGCATGCGGATTGTTCAAGTCCGTTCCGCATGTGACGTTAAGCTAAAAGAGTTAACCCTTTTAGTGCTACGATATTGAATACGTAGACTTCGTCTTTCTCACGGGAATAGACTACCCGGCGACGCGTGTTAGGCGTTGACTTTAGGGTTTTTGGCTAACCCCCAGCCTTCAACGGGTTTGATTAGCCTTTACCGACTACCGTTTGAGTCGGGCTAGCATGCGGATTGTCTAAATCCGTTCCGCATGTAACGTTGTGCTAAGAGAGTGAATTCTCTGAGACTTTGTGCTATGATGTTGAATACATAGGCTTCGCCATTGTTACGGGAATAGGCTACCCGGCAACGTGTATTAGACGTTGACTTATCCCTACTTAGGCTTCGGGATGAGATACCCCAGAATCGAACTCTGGTGTCTTTTTCAATCGGTAAAAGACTAAACCGGCGACGCGTGTTAGGCGTCGGCATATCCTTTCTTAGGATTCAGGATGAAATTCCCCATGCGTGTAAGGCATGGATTTCGGTGTTATTAATAACAACCTGCCACAATGTTGAATATGCGGACGGGTATTCTTTTTAACGGTTAAGAAACATCTGATGACTTTTCGCCCATTCCGTTCACCTCCCAGTTTGCTCCGGGCACGTCGTTGGAAGTTGTCCAAGTGGTGAGGGAAGGTGGCCATCAAGCTCTTCGCCAGCTGATCACAGATGCGCCTCTCGTGCAGGATGCCGGTTCCGTTCAGTCTCTTAGGAAGACTGACTTCTTGTTTGGCGACTCTACCAGAGATCCCGATGCAGCATTTATTGAAGCTGAGCAGTGGCTTTACCAGACTGGCAGTCGTTTTATGTATTTGCCGAAGATTCCTCGACACCGTTCTTTGACTGAGCTCAGGCGTCAGGCTGTGAAACGGGAGATGTCGTGGCGTTTGACAGAGGAGCATGAGAGCGTTCACTGCGGCTACATTACTCATCAGGCAGTTCCTGGTTCGAGCAGGAATCATATTGTTGGACTGCGTCCTGGAGTGCTGGGACTAGATGCACCGCCCCGTAACGAGTTCCTTGCCTTTGCTTCCACTTTGAGGAATCGCCTCGCTAACTTAGGACGGGAGATGCCTGCACCGCGCCACAGATTCTATGGTTGGGTCCATTCTTTGGACAAGTTTTGGTGGGCTCGTATGACGAAGTACGTCTTGAGTCGATGGAGCGAGGAGTTGCATGCTTGCGGTCTTTATGCAGCCATTCGTGCCACCATGCATGGTTTACCCGTTAGTGCGAAGCATTTCTTTGCCTTATGCGAGCTTTATAATCCGGATTCGAACACCTTTCTGACTAGGCACGGAGAGTTGGGTTTGGCTCTTCATGAGATGCATAAGATTTCTAGTTTGCCCATGGGTCAGATGTTATACCAGGAGTATTTTCCTTCCAACCATGAACTGAGTCAGCTGAAGGATCGCATGCCCGACCGCTACGAGACCTTATGGGACCTCACTTGTCATTATCACATTGCTTTGGCGCAGTCTAAGCCCCTAGCGAAGAGGACCAAAGCAAATGTGAGCCTGAAGCAGTTCGCATCATATTTGTTCAGGAATCTGGAGAGCCATTCTGGCCAATCTATTTGTGAACTGGCACCGCTGACTCCTTCAGAGGTTAATGAGCTGCTGAAGAAGACTGACGCCCACTCCTATACCATTAGCAGTCCTGAGAGTGGCTTTCCTGCAGGGACTAAATTCAGATCGTTCTTATGTCATGCGACCGCACCGATTCGTCCGATGACTCTTCCCTGCAGGGACCAAGTTCAGATCATTTTTATGGCATGCGACTGCGCCGATTCGTCCGATGACCCTTCTTGCCGGTTACCTCGCTATCTGGTTAAAGAAATGCTTGGTCCCGTATCAGTCTGGTGACGCTCTGCCACTGGAAGTGCTCTATCCTGCAGTTCAGCTTGCCTACAAGAAGGAACTTTCGCTTCTTCCGGTGATGGTGGCTAACATTCATCGAGGGCTTCGACAGATTTCCGGTGCTTTTACACGGAAGGAGAGTGAATCGCCGACTCAGATTCCTACTACTAAGGTGGAGCTTCCGTATGTTTATTTGATGGCTTGGTTCGTCCTTCATCGTTCTGACATGATGTATGTACCGCATGCCATGGACCACTCTGTTCCCTTACTACAGCTGCTTGAGAATGGCGAGTGGGAAGGGCGAGGATTCTCTGATATCAGGAGGCAGCTACAGGTCCACAAGTGCTGGGCATTCTCCACTTGCTTTCCGCAGTTCTCCAGCCGGTATGGCGAGTGTTTGATTGATGAGGAGAAGCCGAGGGAGTATCGCACTTATTTAGATATCGGCTGGTTTAATTGGCTAGTGAACATCAGGCCGGGCTACCTGACTTTCCGGGTGGGGAATCAGTGTTTTATAGAGCCATATCTACCCTACCGATTCGCTCGCCAGTTTGGTTATGACCAGCTTTATGTCGGGAACCCGCGCCAGCAGCTTCGGGCTCATGGAGGTCTGGTGGACGGTCTTCGTGCATGGTTGTGGACCGTGACAGGCTGCACTGGTGCTAGGTTCAGTCTCCCGGGTGCTGAGCGACAGTTGAACCTCACTTTCTTGAGCTGCAGGTGGTTGTTAGCAGCTAATAAGACTGTCCCTGTGAAGCCTATTGAAGAGTTGGTGGCTGAAGAAGCTTCTCAGATTGATTCTCATGTGATCCGGGACGGTG